TAATTATATCACAACAAATAACACGTATCAAACAAACAATTATCTGACTATGTTCAGTAAACTGCCTTCTACTTCATCATTGTAGAAATGTGCTTTTTTGATGTCTTTCAAAAATTTGTTATCTAGACTTTTTTACCCTATACGCGGGGTAACTTGGAACGGCCAGGTGGCATACAGGTTTAAAGTCTTATTTTAATTTTAAAGGATTTTACAAAACAATTACATTTTTAAATAATGCTAAAAAAACTACCAACGGAAGAAAATACTTTTTTTTATGGATTTTTAAAGATTACCGTTTTTGTCCCCCATTTCAAAGATTACCGTTTTCAAATCAAGGTTATAGCTGGTTATACGTCTTTTCTACTTTCAAATATTGTTGTTAAACAATGCTTAACTTTACTGATTTTTGACACATCGGTGGCGGACCTTTTTAACCCCGGACCTTCATATTTTACTATCTATTCTTCAATAAATTCTGGGAAATTATAACTGAAAAAATGTTATTCGACAAAATGTCCAGTTGATCGATACCAAATTTAGGTTCTGAATTTAAAAAACATAAATAAAAAATAATATAACCTAGAAAATGTTTTATAAATACCAATAAAGAGTATATTATTATACAAATGAGATCTTTCAGAGCACCGTGTTTGAGAAAAATATGCCAAAATGCGCATTTTCATATTAACATTTCAAAAAAGTTATTCTGAGTTTCTAGTAACACTTGCGGCCCGTTTACTAACGTTTTTGTATATAAATAAAACTACAAGCAAAACTACTTACTACAATTTAATCATAATTAAATAATATTCACGTAAAACATCTTATTGAACATCATCTGTCAAAAACGTTTGACATTTCACGTATTTGCCACCGTCCATTGTTTTATTTAAATTGCGCTTCAACAAAAATGTTCTAATTAGAAATGTAAAGTTTTTACGCGGATTTGAAATAATTTCTCACCTTTTGGACCTTCTCTGGATTGGCACGAATTTTTCAAGACTAAGACTGGCGAAATCGGTTTAGCCATTTTCGAGTTTTACTTGGACATTTGAAAGAGACCTCCATTTTTATATATAAGATATTCTCAGTCTCTGAGCAATTTTCTGTACTACCTCCAGATCTGTGCATTATTTTTTGCAAAAAAATTATATGTGCAGTTACTTGCGTTTAGCAAAATGATTTTTATATATTTAACACATGCTGAGTTGTCTTTATTAAACTTTTATGCTAATTTTATTTAAAGAATCTTTATAATATCTTCATCTACTGAGCAATTTTCTGTACTACCTCCAGATCTGTGCATTATTTTTTGCAAAAAACTTATATGTGAGGTTACTTGCTTTTAGCAAAATGATATATATATATTTAACACATAAAAAGTTATCTTTATTAAACTTTTACGCTCATTTTATTTAAGGAATCGTAATAATAGAATATCCTCATTCTATGAGCAATTTTCTGTACTACCTCTAGATCTGTGCATTATTTTTTGCAAAAAAATTATATGTGCGGTTACTTGCTTTTAGCAAAATGATATTTTTATATTTAACACATATAAAGTTATCTTTATTAAACTTTTATGCTCATTTTATTTGAAGAATAATAAAAAACTCTTTATAATAGAATATCCTCATCCTCTGAGCAATTTTCTGTACCACCTCAAGACCTGTGCATTATTTTTTGCAAAAAAATTATATTTGCGATTACTTGCTTTTAGCAAAATGATATTTATATATTTAACACATACAAAGTTATCTTTATTAAACTTTTATGCTCATTTTATTTAAAGAATATTTATAATAAAATATCCTCATTCTCTGAGCAATTTTCCGTACTATCTCCAGATCTCTGCATTATTTTTTGCCAAAACAATGTATATCTGCAATTACTTGCTTTTAGCAAAATATTTATATATTTAACACATACAAAGTTATCTTTATGCTCATTTTATTTAAAGAATATTTATAATAGAATATCCTCATCCTCTGATCTGTGCATTATTCTTTGTGAAAAAATTATATTTGTGATTACTTGCTTTTAGCAAAATGATATTTATATATTTAACACATACAAAGTTATCTTTATTAAACTTTTATGCTCATTTAAAGAATCTTTATAATAGAATATCCTCATTCTCTGAGTAATTTTCTGTACTACCTCCAGATCTGTGCATTATTTTTTGCAAAAAAAATTATAATAGCGATTAATAAAAAGATTTCAATTTTAATTCTGGCTAAAGTTTTAAAGCTCACTTATATACTTTAAATGAATATTTTAGACTTTGTGATTCAGTTCATATAATTCTTATAAATATTAGACAATGTTACAGTATTTATAATATTTCTATTTGAAAACTTTTAATATTTCTTGAACATTTCGTTACGGTACGGGAGTTCCAGCAATTTGCCTTAAGGCACGAAGCCATACACCACTAGTTTTATTAGTGTTTTGCTCAAAAATTTTACAGCAATCCCGTACTTTAAATGTATCGTGTTATGAGGGGCATGGTCTCAATTCTTAAACCCTGTTATGCATGGGTTACCTGTATTAACATTTATCTGTTTTTTTTTTTTTAAAGTAAAACTTCTTTAGGCGCGACTACGGAGTAAATCTGTACAAATGCAACGGAAATAGCGTTACGCCCGAACAGTTCGTCATTCGCTCTGGATGAAATCATTTCTATACCGTTCGATTGTGATTAGTCGTCGTGTCGTGTGAATAGAGATCTGTCATTGTATGCGTATTTTCATCAACGTTGTATGCGTACCGATATCAACAAGGAAATCGGCATAGATAAATAAACATTTGAAAGCTACATTGTAGTACAAATCACGATTTAATGAAAAATGCCTGAATCAGAAGAATATTTTACCCTGTTTCTTGAAAATAATAAAACAAATGAAACATTTTTGCCGTGTACTAAACGTAAGCTTATTGATTAGAAATTATTTCTATATTATTCGTAGTTTCTATAAATCTTTGAAGTTATTGAAATGGAAAATACTTTTATAGGCAAGACAGATATTACAGCTGCTCAAAGAATGAGATTATATCGCCAGCGAAAAAGTAAAAAAAATACAAGCAGTCAATGAATGTATGTTAATTTTAATTACATGAAGTTCTTCAAACACAATTACATGATGAGTGAAGTTGCAAAAATAATATTTGTTTAGGCGTTGTTTAACATAATCCACTGTGTTAACGAGTATTATAGAATTTATTAATCAGCAATTACTTCATTTTTCTAATGAAGGTTCATTTCTAAATGCTAATTACAATGACAAACCGATCATGTCATATTTGAAGCATGACTTCTATTACATTATTGTTTTTAAATATTATACATATTTTAATACTATTATTATAAATATATAATTTATAATTTATCATAATATAAATGTGTATAATGTTTGACACTAGGGAATGCAATACCGATAGAAAATTTCTATACCGGTAATTCGGTATTTTTT